CTTGTGAAACATGGACCACTTATAAACACCATCTCCAAATCCTCGAAAGATTCCATCAACGGTGTCTCTGAAAAATTTTACACATCACTTGGGAAGACAGGCGAACTAATGCCAGTGTACAGGAAGAAGCAAAGATCACCAGTGTTGAAGCAATGATTCTTCAACATCAGCTTCATTGGACTGGTCATGTTCTTTGGATGCCTGATTATTGTCTTCCAAAGCAACTACTCTATTCCCAACATAAGAATGGAAAGCACAGTATTGGTGGTCAACAAAAGACTCTCTCAAAGACTCTCTCAAAGCAAATCTAAAAAAAATGTAGTATAAACACCAACAATTCGGAAACACTTGCCTGCAAGCGCTCCAGTTGGAGAACAGCCTTTACCAAAGGTGCCATGGGCTTTGAAGACACTCAAACTCAGGACGCAAGGAAGAAATATGCTAAGAGGAAGGCATGCTTGGCAAATCCACACCGTGATCAACTCCAGCCCGGAAACCAATGTCCCCACTGTGGAAGGACATGTGGATCCAGAATTGGCCTCCACAGTCACACGGACTCATTGTTAAAACCGTGTTTATGGAAGACAATCTTACTTGGCTATGAGTGCTCACCGAAGAAGAAGAAGAAGAAGAAGAAGAAGAAGAAGAAGAAGAAGAAGAAGAAGCAGCAGCAGCCTCTGAATCCCAGTTGCTGGGAATCACAAGTGGGGAGAGCATTTTTGTGCTCGGATCCTGCTTGGAGGCTTTCCATGGGCACCTGGTTGCCCAATGCGAGACAAGGATGCTGAACTAGATGCCCACGAACCTGATCCAGCAAGGGCCCCTCTTATGTTTTTGTGTATATGTTCCAATGACTAACAACAAAAAAGACACCTGCTGCTTAATACCTGCATTCAGAGTAGGGTCTCTGGTGATAATCTAATGGATGTTGAGGTTTACATAGGAGAAAGTATCCAAGTGTTTGAACATCACCTGTATTGATCGTCTTTGCAACCAAGGCATTCTAGATTGATCCAGGAAAGGCAAATCAGTTTCAGAAATCCCAATGTTAAATTCAATTCTACACACTTCTGTGTGTATCTTTTTTTTTTTAAGTCCTCACAAAAAAACCACTAGCATTTTGGTGCAAAATTCTCCTAATGTGCACATTTTTTGGTATGCGATTTTGCCCAGTGTGGGCAAAAATTCTCCCAAAATAATGTTGTTTTTTTTTTACGAATCTAGGTACTTTTAATGTGTGCTTTGCTCTAATATGCACACTTGCCTGAAATAGAATGTGGCCTTTGGTGGACGTGCCCAAGGATTAAGGCTTTCTGGGAGATGATATATAATGAAATGAAAAGGTATTTAAATATACCTTCTTGAAGAAACCAGAGGCCTTTCTCCTGGGCATTGTGGGCCAATTGGTGCCAAAGAAGGATAGAACTTTCTTTATGTATGCCACGACAGCAGCAAGAATACTTATCGCAAAGTACTGGAAGACACAAGATTTACCCACCTTGGAAGAATGGCAGATGAAGGTGATGGACTACATGGAACTGGCAGAAATGACCGGCAGAATCCGAGACCAGGGAGAAGAGTCGGTGGAAGAAGATTGGAAGAAATTTAAAGACTATCTACAGAAATATTGTAAAATTAATGAATGTTAGAATGATGTCGGATGGAAAGTTATGTGGTTTTTAGCTATAACACTATAAGGAGTATGAAAAAAATTGGACTATTAACAGACAAAAATTGAATGTTACATTATCTTAAGATTAAAGATTAGGATAAACAAAGAGGGGAAGGATTTGCTGAACTAACAAATTGAACGGGAATGCAAAAAGGGAGGTATGAGGAGGTCCAGGAAACAAGCAAATGAAAGATAAGTGATGGAAAGATGGAATTTTTTTTTAAAAAACTATTTTTATTCTGTATTTTTCTTGTTTCTTTCTTCATTTTGTAAAATTCTAATAAATATCTTTAAAAAAGAAAAAAAAAACACGGTCCTCACTCCTATATTAGAAAGCAACTTATTCTACACCATCCCACTCAGTCAATGAGGTCGGTGTGTGAGGACTTCCTGGCTGTGCCACAGAGGTCCACCCTGTGACAGATAAGGCGAGGGCCTTTTCTGTGGTGGCTTCTTCTCTATGGAACCAACTCCCCTCTGAGTTGCAGCAGGCACTGACAATGGAAACCTTTTGCCTCTTTCTGAAATCCCAGCGTTCTTCCCAAGTCTTTGCTAGCACTTTTTAATTTGTTCTGGTGGTTGTTCCCCGCCCCCCCAGTGAACATTATTATCATACATGTGTGCTTATTTTATTCCGATTTTATGTTGTATGCTGCTTTGTTATTAAACTGAAAGGGGCATAGCAAGAAGTCTAAATAAATAAAACAAGCCATTATTTTTTATTGCTTTTGAAAGCAATTTACAAAAAAAGAGCAACGTACAAGGAGGGTAACAAAATTACTCAGAATAAATAAATAAATGAGATCTTATTAATTGAAACATATTATATAAGTGTATAATCCTAATAAAACAAATAGGGGGAAATGGATTTTTGGGGTTTAAAACGAATATAGATGCCAAATAAAGACTGGACACAGTGACAACAAATGTTGCCATTGGTAAACATATTGTGTTTCTAGAGATCAACTTGATAAGCATTCTGACAAAAATGGGAATGAGTTCTAACAAAGTGGAACAAGAAGCCAGCTGCTAAAGGTGCAAGAGACCTGCCTACACTAGTTCACAGACCAACCTTTCAATTGAATGCAAAGGAGCAGCCTTATCGAAGTAGCAGGAGCCCAATGATCAAGCCCACAATTAGAACTCGAACTCAGAGCCTCCTGGCAACTTCTTCCTCAAAACTGCAAAACCAGGAAGGCTGGCTACACGTCACCATAAAAGAGGAACTGATATGTAGGGGACAAGACACAAGATGACTTATATCTCTGCTCAGTTGGGTGGCCAGGTGCTTGGCTGCAGCTCAGCGGCAGAACACCTGCTTGGCATGCAGAAGGCCCCATTCCCCCTGCACCACCAATTAAAAGGATCAGACAATGTATGGCAGGAAAGACCTCTTCCTCCTGGTGACCTTGAGAAACAGAGAAGACAGGATGTGGACCATAGCAACTTAGGTTTGGGAATTTAAATCTGGAAAATCCAAACATGCCTTTTAAGTTTAGACAGATGGCACATCTGCTAAGGGGGCTCCTGGAAGCATCTGGGTGGCCACGGTGAGAACAGGATGGTCTGATTCAACAGGGCAGTTCTTATGTTCTTAGGGTGAAGATGTGATGACTCTAGCCCTTGACAGTCCTTTCCCTTTTCCTAAATGTGACGGAACTGCTGGCCCTCCCTGGACCAGAGCTTCATGAGAACAGGAGGAGAGCTTGCAGGATCAGTCCAGTGGCCTGGATAGACCAGCATCCTCTTCTCACAGTGGCCAACCAGATGTCTCAGGGGAAAACCAGCAAGCAGAGCAACTCTCTCCTTTCAAAGGAGCTACAGTGGTACCTCGGGTTAAGACTTAATCTTCTGGAGGTCCGTTCTTAACCTGAAACTGTTCTTAACCTGAGGTACCAACTTTAGCAATAATTGGAGCACTGACTGGTCTCTCACCTGAGCGCCGACTTTCTGGTTTGAGTCCAGGGACAAGTCCACTAGGCCGACGTTGAGTATCTGTCTCAAATCCCTGAAAGCAAAAGGTTTCTTAACCCGAATCGACTTAAGTATATTTTCTCGGTTTGTAACACTTGAAGTGGTTCTAGTGAGCCTGAATTAACGTCTGTTAAGCCCGAAAGGGGTAACAATTAAGTATTGGGCGTGCTAAAGTGGTTTCTGGTAAATTGTCGGGTCTTAGCACAAGGAAGAACCAGAGGTTTTCTAAGGAGACTCCCACTGCGGCGCCCATGAAGCCGTCACTGGTGTGCCTTTGGGGCCAGTGCGCCTGTCTCTCAGCTTAGGTCCCTCCTTTACATGGGTATTGCTGTCTGTGGAGTCAAACGTGCAGGAGGGGGAGAAGCCCGTACGCCACCTCAAACTCCCTGGAGAAAAGGTGGGATATAAACTGCTCTAGCCCTGAAGACTCCAACATGGGAAACTATTGATTCATTGCACCATCCCTAAAGAAGCTGGAACTGACATAAATGCATCACAGAGGGTTGGACTAGACGACCTTTTGAGCCCTTTCCAACTTGTCAGTTTACCCTTCCATTTTACCCCCCAACAACAACCCCACCGGGTAGGTCAGGCTGAGATCTGGCAGGCAACTGACACTGGGTTGCCCCAATGTGTTTTGTGGCTGAACTGAGGATTTGAACCCAGATCTCCCCCCTGTCCTAGTCCGACGCTCTACCAAGCCTTTGCTGCCCCAGACGTGCTCCAGGAACAGCTGCCGCCGGGCTGTCCACAGCTATTTTGGGCACCACAGGGGACAAGGGAGGGCGAGCGCTCCAGCCAAGGAACCCGGGGCTGGGCAAGAGGTAATCCCTGCCGCTACCGGGGTAAAAGTTCACTCGAAATGGGTCGCTCGCTGAGTGCTGTATTAGCTCGGACACGCTCTTGTGGTGTTGCTGTTTCTGTTGTTGTTGGTTCCACCCCACCCCCTTCCTCCTCTCCTTGCTTTCTTTTCCTCTTCCTCCCATGAGAGAATTCCGGCCCAGCTCCTGCCTGCATTCACTTCATATTTCGGAGCATTTTCTCTCAAAATCCCGCTGACAGATGAAGAGCAGGGAGAGAGCCAGATTCCCATGGAACAATAGCTCTTTGGAGAGGGACTCTGTGCCCAGCTTGGCCCTGGAGGGGGGGGGGCTGCCCCGGGGGCACTGACAGCAGGAACCTTCCTGGTCTTCGGCCAAGGCACAGGTGCTGGCGACAGGACGAGCCTTCTGGTCAGAGCCCGGCCTGCTTTATAACCCTGGCGTCGTGCCAGCCGGCAGCTCGGAGCGTTAACCTGTTGTGTGCTGCAGAAGTTCATTCCCCCCCCTCTTCTCTCTATTCCCCCAACCACCAGCAGCCCCGTGGGGCTTCGGGGAAGCCGCCCGCAGCTGTCAAAGCAGAGAGAGGAGGATGCCACACAGGGCCGGAAGGAGAGAGCAATTCAGCCCCTCGGATGGAGCGGAGCTCAGCTGCAAATGGGGGTGCCCGTTGGCTGAGGGTAACCGAGGACAAAAGCGGAACCTTGAAGAAAAGGGGGAGGTGAGATCAAGCAGAGGATGCATCGTATATTGTTAGAACCTCCATGTTTAGAGGGAGTCTACCCCTGAATACCAGTTGCTGGGGAACAATAGCAGGAGAGGGCTATTCTGTCTGTGGTGGCGTCCAGCTAATTCCTGCATTGCAGGGGGTTGGACTAGATGACCCTTGGGGTCCCAACTCTGCGAGCAAATTCTACTCAGAGCTGACCCAGAGGTGTGGTTTTTTTGAGGGGGACTGAGTTCCCTTACCTTAAAAAATAAAATTATTGATTTATTTTTGTTTTTGTTTTTGGGGAGGGAACGGATGCCTGAGTCAAAGAACCACCCATATAGTCGTACCTTGGTTGGTTGACGAACGCCATGCGACTCAAATGTTTTGGCTCCCGAATGCCATGAACTCGGAAGTAAGTGTTCCGGTTTGCAAAAGTGATTTGGGACCCAAGCGTCCGATGGGCTTTGGTGGCTTGCAATTGAGTGCAGGAAGCTCCTGCAGCCAATCGGAAGCTGCACCTTGGTTTTCGAACGGTTCTGGGAGTCGAATGGACTTCTGAAATGGATGCTGTTCCTAAGTTAGGGGATGGGTTGTGGCCCCATGGGAGAGCATCTGTTCTGTGTGTGAAAGGTCCCAGCTTCAACCCTTGGCATCTCCAAATAGAGCATGAGCTATAAGGCAGTTCCCTTGTCACGTCCACCAACTTTGTTCTAAGGATCAGCCCTGTGGGAGGTGGTGGTGATGGGACAATCTCATTGCTGCCAAGCACTGCAAGCGATGTCGGGTGGAGGGTTGTAAGCTGCATGCCGGAGTGCAGCTAGAGCTGGTGGGAGGAATCACACACATTTAGCCGTCCCCTTCCTGTCACCACCCTGCTCATGTAAATTTCACCCCCACCTACAGCCCCACAAGCAGCTGTTTTGTGGGCCGAGGCGAGTGCAACTTCCATAGAATCTCAGACTTGCAGAGAGGGAAGGGATCCAAAGGGTCATCCAATCCAATCCAATCACAGCAGGGCAGGGGAGGGTGGGTAGGGTGGTGCCTGGGGAACACACACACATCCGCATCTTGGGCATTGCCCTCTCCATCACATTCAGTGGTGTAGCGTGGGTTGCCAGTGCCCGGGGCAAGGCAAGTACACTTGACACTGCCCACTAGGCTGGAATGAAGGGGCAATAGCTCAGCAACCTACCTGAGCGGCAGCTGCAGTGCCCTGTGACCGCCAAGCATGGTGGAGAGTGGGATGCGGAATTGGTTGGGAACAGGTATCTTTCTAAAGCCTGTGCCAAGGGTGCCCTAGCAACCTGTCATTGCACAAATCCACCCCTTAGTCTGCCCATGTGAACATTGGGAGTTTTCCCATGTGAGGGGAAGGGCACACTATTTTATATTTATTATTACTACTTTTATATCCTTTTGAAATTTTGCACCCTTCATGGATCACTGCCTTGTTGCAGCGAAGGGGCTTGAATAACTCAGAGAACCTTATCAGCTATGCTGTGCAGGTCCACCCAAGACGGACAGGTCATAGCTGAGAGTTTAGGCTAAGTGTGATCCACCTGGAGAAGGAACCGGCGATCCACTCCAGTATCCCTGCCAAGAAAACTCCATGGACAATAACAGGCATATAAAAGGACAGGAATGCCTAGTGTTCTCTGGTCCATGGAGTCACGAAGAGTTGGACATGACTAATCAACTAACAACAACAACAAGAATTTTGCAACTGCCCCTGTGGCCCCCGCCCCCGGTACGATCACATTTGCACCTCGCCAAAGAGTTTGGTGAGGTTGTGGGGTGGGCCACCAATGTGAGTTGCATGGAACGTCTCAGAGAACTGCGTGTGGCTTGCTTGGCTGCAGGTTAGGCACCAAAAGATGGAATCCTTGACTTAGAACAGGGAGCCCAAGAACCAGATTTGAGCCACAATTTGCCCTAGCCTGCCTCACAGGGCTGTTGTGACCCAATGGGATAATTCACAGAGAGGCAGAAGCATGACCAATAAATAAAAGGGGGAAGGAGCCATGATTCCGTAGCCGAGGAATGTTCTCCCCCCGCATTTCCCTCTGGCTGGTCCATCCAGAATGGAGCGCAATGGTCTATCCCTGAAACTGAAACCGTTCACCATTGAAAAGCTAAGAATCTTGAACCGACACCAAGAGGTGGGAGGCGGGGGACCGCTCTGTGCACACATCTGATGGGCCCAGGCTGTTTGGCAGTTGTGCAAATCCACGGATCGGCCACCCAGCGGCCTTGCACGATCTCTGCTGTGCTCTGGATTCACCAGCCCCTGCTGTGGCAGAAAGACATTTTCGGTGCCCTCTGCGGGAAGGTGCGAGTCTGACGGCCGTGACTGTGTGACATTGCCTGTCTCTCCCCATGCCTGAAGGGAGAAGTCATGTTCCAGACACTCATGCCCAGCCGGGATCAGAGAACAGCTGGCCACCGAAATCTCCAGCTGGTTTTGGGGGTGTGTGTTGTGGGGGTGGCGGTGTTACGTTCTGCATAACAGGAACCACAGCAGTTGGGCTGGCTTGGGAGAGCTGTGAGGCATTGTGGGCATGAAAAGAAACAAGAGACAGGGAGTGGAAGAGAGAGAGAGAGCATAAAATTGGTGCATGGGCAAATTAGAAGCCAGGGTGCTTGGCTGCTTTTGCTGCCAGGCCACTGGCCAACAGAGGTCAATAGTGGGTGGGCAACAAAAACCAGGACATCCAAGTTGGTAGGGGAAGAAGAGAAAACCTTTTTGGCTCAATGTGTGGGGAGGATTTCTGCCTCGGCCGATGCTCAGGATGGCAGCACATTCCCTAAGAAGACATGGTGCAACATTTGAAGCATTCTTCAGTGCACTCCCACTGCTGGTTTGGGAAACAGTGTAAGCACGATGCTAGCTGCAATCAAGATCTGTCTTGCCATTTCTTGCAAAATTCTGCATTTAGATGCATTCCCCCCCCCCCAAAGCTCAAATGAGAACTGAGGAAAAAGAACGACTTAGCTGCCTTTTAAGCTGGTAATGTGCACACAGCCTTAGTTTATGGGTGGGGTGGGGAAATGGACTGGCAGAGAGGGAAAGGTTTATAAAATTAAAAATAGGTGAAGAAGGAGCTTCTCCCCTTCCCCTTACTTTGGCAAGCAAATCAAGATGAAAGCTAAATATTGGATTGTAGAAACATGACTGTGGGGAAAAAGTTAAAGGGAAATATTATTTTGAATTATGTACCGTACCTACTATATGGAATTTGACAACTGGACAATGTAAATGGATTCTTTGTGCTCTTACTATGGCCAGAAGGCTGATGTTGACGCGCTGGAAAGAGAAATCTATGGCCCTCTTTAGTCAATGGATGGAAGATACGACAAAGCTTTCAACTTATGAATGGATTGCTTACAGATGTAGACCTTGTTTGGACAAGTGCGATGATATTCCAAATATATATAACAAATGTGCAGTATATATAACAAATGTCCAGTAACAAGAAGCCGAAAGCACCAGCCTGAAGATGACGAGTGAGACCTCGTCGAAACGTCGCCTAGACACCCCAACTTTTACACGGGAAGACACCCGAGGACACCAAAACCTGCATTCCTGTACCCGTGAAAATCTACGAAAGCATATATATATATATATATATATATATATATATATATATATATATATATATATATATAGTAGGTTCTAAATAACCATATATGTATTTGGATAATAATAGGACATACACCTACGTATTAGACAAGCATATATGAAATTGTAGTTGTTTGTATGTATAGTGATATCATATACTTTTCCTTCCTTTTTTCTCTTTATGCACTTTTATTTTTATTTTATTTTGTTCAATTGAAATATCCCCCCCCCCAAAAAAAAGTAACGAGAAGAAGCTGAAAACTGAATAAACAGTTCTATGGAAGAAACCCCAAATTGTAACTCCAAGTCGCTGGGTACTTACAGAGTTGCTGCCACCTGCCACCAGGTAAAGAAGCTAGGGTTCTTTTTTGGGGAGTAGGGGAATTGACATAGGAGGACACACCTGTGAGGGACCTTCCAAACCAGGAGCCAACCCTACTTGTAAGTAGATCCACTTTAACCTCACTGCCAGCTAAGCTGTGTCACAGAGCAGCAGGAATTCCATAGACCGACCCTGAACAGTGTTAACCAAACAGCATCCCCATCTAGACCAGTTTTTCTCAAACTTGGGTCCCCAGCTGTTGTTGGACTACAACTCCCATCATCCTTAGCTGGCAGGACCAGTGTTCAGGGATGATGGGAGTTGTAGTCCAATGACGGCTGGAGACCCAAGTTTGAGAAACACCTGCATGAAACTGTCCCAAAGCAGCGATTTCTCGCGTTGTTGTTCTTATTGGTATCTTTGTTTCCGTTGCGTCGTTCCTTTTTTGCTTTGAGAATGCTTTACAGCATGGAGATGTGTGTGTGCGTGACACAGTGTAAATATGTCTTTTCAGTCGGCTATACAGTGGTACCTTGGGTTAACAATTCGTTCTGGAGGTCTGTTCTTAACCTGAAACTGTTCTCAACCTGAAACTGTTCTTAACCTGAAGCACCACTTTAGCTAATGGGGCCTCCCGCTGCTGCTGCACCGCGGCGGCGTGATTTCTGTTCTCATCCTGAAGCAAAGTTCTTAACCTGAGGTACTATTTCTGGGTTAGCAGAATCTGTAACCTGAAGCGTCTGTAACCTGAAGCGTCTGTAACCCGAGGTACCACTGTAATTGAAAGCATGAAATGCTGATGTCACATGTAGACTCCCCCCTTCTTCCCGCATTGGAGGGTCACTTTCTATCATGCACGAACCCTCCCTGTGCCAGTTCCTCCCCCCCACACTATGCCACACACATCTGCAGCTAGCTGAAACTGACATGCTTGCCCGCTCAGCTCCAAGTCACTCCCAAGGGTGCCTCCCCTCCCTCCCTCTCTGCTCAGGCCCTCGAGGGGCTATTTCTGGCTCCCCCCCGTGCACCTGTAGGGCCACCGGTGCCACAGACGAGAAACCTGAGCCAGCAAAATGACAAGGCACCTTCCAGCTCCCCGGGCGACAGAGGAGAGATTCCCTGCTCTGCCCAGACCCCCTAGGGAGCCCAGTGGGGTCGGGTGTCAGGAGCGGGCTCCTCTTACAGGGGGCTGAATCTCAGCAATGCGGCTCTGGAGCAGCAGGGCAACCAGGGGACGGTGCCAAGCTCCCTGCTTGCTCGGGCCTGGAGAGAGGAATGTCAGCTTGCCTGCACCCAGGCAACCGAGTGGCCCTGGCAGGAACGTCTAGCCTGATTGCAGTGGGAGGTGGGGGGTCGTACTGGGGCGTCAGATGCAGGGATGGGGGAGACATTTGATCCAGTTCGCATTTAAAGGCAAACTTGCCTGATTCATGCTTTCCAAAAGAAATCCACAAACCGAAACACCCGCCGCCTTTCACAACCCACACTTCTCTGAATTTTGCAACACAGGTCTTCAGGCAAGTAATGTGTACAGAGAGAAAAAACACACCCAGCAGGGTAAAACACACCTATAAATGGAGATATTGTGTATATTTGTCAGAGCTGCTTGCAAAAAGGGGGCCGATCTGGAGAAATCCACATTGCAATGTTGACAGATTTTCATCAGGATTTCAAAGCAAATGAATTGCAAATCATTGCAATATTGCAGAGAACTGAATTTAAGATCAGGAGGAAAAAACAAGGAACTGAGAGGACAGAAATGGACAGATTCACTCATCCTTAATTGGAGGTGACTATCCTGACTTGAAATGACAACCCTCTGTGTCCAAGAGAGAACTAATTCTCCCTTGTGTCACCCGCATTCTCTTCAGGGTCCTGGTTCTTTGTGGCATTGTGAAGATTATAGCAGCCTTAGTCACAGAATTGTAGAACTGTAGAGTTGGAAGGGACCCTGAGGACCAATCTAGTTCAATGCCCTGCAGTGCAGGAATATGCAGCTGTCCCATACGGGGATCGAACCTGCAACCTTGGCATTATCAGCACCATGCTCTTACTCCCCCTTTCTCCAAACTAAAAAGTCACAAAAGCTGTAAACTTTCTTCTTGATGAGGGTGTCACTCCCCACTCCCTTGGTCATCTTGCTTGCCCTTTTCCGAACATTTTCCAACTCTACAATATCCTTTTTGATAGGATTCATGCAGTCTGACCTTCAGGATCAGAGTGGTAGGCCCTGAACACCAGTTCCTAGGGATTGTATGTGGGGAGAATGTTCTGCTCAGATCTTGCTTCTCAAAGTGGCACCTGGTTGGTTTCGGTGGGAACAGGATTGCAGGCTAGAAGGACGAACCGGCAGCAAGTAAAGGACACACTCTGGGGCTGTCATGGTGTTTCCAGAGCCAAACTGGCCATCATTCAGTGCTGGAGCCTGTGCAGGTTCATTTCCTGGTAGCAGGGTTTGTTCCCTGGAGAACCAGTGTCATTCAGAGGAGACACGGCTGGACCAGATGGACCCATTTCCTTGAATAGTCTGAGGGTTGTGTTATGCAGCCACTGGATTCTGACGTGCTCTGGTAGATGGAGGGGATGATACAGCATGGCAGAGAAGGAGCTTTTGTCCCCACCTTCTCCAGTTCTCCCCCAAATTCCCAGTCAAGCACAGATCAGAAGAAAATTTGAAATTCTCGCAGGGTCCGACAACAGTGGCAGTTTCTCTCTATTTGCTAGAAGTGTTTCTGGATTATCAAAGGTACAGGCTTACTTCTGACACCATGTAGCATATCCTGCGGCATCTGGGAAGAGTACTCACTGTGTGTGAAAACCTTGGGATGGGTCTGCCCTCATAGCAGGAAGCAGCAGGGGTTAGGAAAACGTCAATAGCTGCATTTGTTTGTGAACAACAGATCAACAACTCAGCAGCTAGGAGATGCTATATAGGCTCCAATTAGTTCCCACTGAGCTTGGAAGGAACCACACCCTGGGAAGGGAGTCTCTGTTACAGACCAGGCATGTCTCATAAAGAGACAGGCCACATTCACCAAAGGGGAGGCACAATTTTTGTCGATTCCTCATTCCCCCCCCACTTTCAGACTCCTGGAAAGCATTTCTAGAGGGCTGTGGGAACTTCTGGAGCAACACTGGAAGTGGTGTCACTGGGGACCGGATGGCGAACAGGGAGTCAGCAAAAATCACCCTCCCCACTTCTTCTCCAATTGGACACTCAGTTTGGATCAAAGTCTCACCCATGAATGGAAGAAGTAGTTGATGGTGGCTGTTGGGACTAGGATGACAGAAAGCAGGGAGTAGGTGGGTGATGATTTATAGATGGTATTTAACACCAAATGAGCTAGCCAAAATGTATAAAACTAAGTCAAGTTGGAAGTGCAAAGTGTCAGAAGTAACATTTTTTCGTATGTGGTGGACATGGAAAAAGGGCTATTGGGGAATGATATATAATGAGATTGAAAAGATGTTTAAATTGATGATTTCCAAGAAACTCAAATCTTTTCTTTTAGGAATGATAGATAATCATGTTCTAAAAGAGCTGGTCAACTTATTTATCTACACAACAAAAGCAGGACAAATATCATATGCCCAATGATGGAAAGAAGGAGAAGTTCCAACAAAGGAAGATTGGCTTTTGATGGAGGGTGTGGAACCCACAGGATTAACAGCAAAAATTAGAGACCAAAATGACGAGAAATTCCTTGAGGACTGGAAACTTTTATTGAGTATTTAAATAACTATTATAGTAATACGAAAATGCGAGCAGGACTTGAAATATGAGCAACAGCCTGAATTATTAAGATAAACCGATTAAATTGAATGCATTGAATAGTACAGGCGAAATATGCAGTATTTAGAGGTAAATATGGAAACCACGGAAGGGGAGGGCAGGAAGTCAATGGACAAAATAAATCATGGTTTATGTTAAGAGCCGTAACATTTTTTTCTTTGCAAAAAATTAATAAATAAGTGTTGTTGTTGGTTTGGTTTGGTTTTTTTTAAAAAAGTGTAGGTAGCACCAGAGTCAGTAACAAGTAGAGCCAATAAGTCATTCTCGTTGTGTCCCATCTTCCCCCTACTGAGTTCTGCAAGGGTAACACTGCGGCAGAGGAGGAGGACGGTGGAAGGCAGGGACTGGAATATTTATAAGTAAGGAGGTATGCTGGCTGGCGACAGGCTGAGGTTGGTGGGGCATCCTCCACTGGTGAGGTGTGATGTATGCTTGTGTGCAGCCCATCAGACGAGGGCACTTAAGTCTGGGTGGAGGAGTGGTCACGCTGTTGCTCCAACATTCCAACTTGGAGCACAAGTCCATACCCACCAACATTTCTCTGATGAAAATAGGAATGTCCGTAATTTTTACTACTTATACCCCATACATCTTACAGGGTTGCCCCAACCACTCTAGGTGGCTTCCAACATATATAAAAACACAATAAAACATTTATCATTCAAAAAACCTTCCCTACACAGAATTGCCTTCAGATGACTCAGGGGTCAGAGAACTCCATACCCTCCAACATTTCTCCAATGAAAATAGTAAAGGTAAAGGGACCCCTGACTGTTAGGTCCAGTCGCGGACGACTCTGGGGTTGCGGCGCTCATCTCGCTTTACTGGTCAAGGGAGCCGGCATACAGCTTCCAGTCATGTGGCCAGCATGACTAAGCTGCTTCTGGCGAACCAGAGCCGCTCACGGAAATGCCGTTTACCTTCCCACCGGAGTGGTACCTATTTATCTACTTGCACTTTGATGTGCTTTTGAACTGCTAGGTTGGCAGGAGCAGGGACCGAGCAACGGGAGCTCACCTCGTCGCGGGTATTCGAACTGCTGACCTTCTGATCGGTAAGCCCTAGGCTCTGTGGTTTAACCCACAGCGCCACCCGTGTCCCTTCTCCAATGAAAATAGGGACACCCTAAAGAAAAGCAGTGCATTCCAGGATCAAATCAGAAATCGGGACGGCTTCTTTAAATCAGGGATGTCTCTGGAAAATAGGGACACTTGGAGAACCTGCAAGTCTGCGGAGGGGATGCCAACTACTTGCCCCTGGAAGTGTGTTTGGTGCAACTTAGGAACTACTTTTTCAATGAGGAATTAAGCATCATCATCATCATCATCATCATCATCATCATCATCATATTTATACCCCGCCCATCCAGCCACTCTGAGCAGCTTCCAGCACATATAAAAACATAATAAAACATCAAACTTTCAAAACCTCCCGACACAGGGATGCCTTCAGATGTCTTCTAAAAGTTGGCTAGTACTTTATCACCTTGATATCTGAAGGGAGGGAGGGCACCACTACTGAGAAGGCCCTCTGCCTGGTTCCCTGTAACCTCACTTCTCACAGCGAGGGAACCGCCAGAAGGGCCTTGGAGCTGGCAGAAAGATGCGGGTGGAGATGCTCCTTCAGGTGTACTGGGCCGAGGCCATTTAAAGGACAGCACCAACACTTTGAATTGTGCTTGGAAACGTACTGGGAGCCAGTGAAAATCCTTTAGGGCTGGTGTTATACGGTCCTGGTGGCCACCCCCTGTCACCAGTCTAGATTAGTTGTCATTTCTGAGTCACCTGCCAACGATTTGTCCTCCTTTGACTGGGTGTGCTCAGGACAATCTGACCTCTGGGACTCTTCCCCGGCTGTAGCTCTCCCCAGCAATGCTTTTGACCTTTCTTGAGGGGTGGGTTGTTGTTGTTTGCCTGGCTGCAATGCATCATTGAACTCTGCAGGTTCCCCTCCCTACATCAAGTTTCACCTGGCAGCATCCCTTTGATCCAGAGGAAGCTTGAACATGCTGTGGTGAGAGCCTACCTCCCCTGTCAGAGGCATTATGCCTCAAGATACCAGAGGCTGGGGAGAATCTGGGAAGAATTGCTGTAGCACACAGATCCTGCTTTGGGGCATCTCATAATGGGCGTCTGTTTGGCCCCTGTAAAAACTGGAGTCTCTAGCTTCATCCAGCAGGGCTGTTCTTCTGTTCTTACTTCTAAACCCTAGATCTGTGTTTTAAATCTGGTTTTTAGTTTATTGATGATTTTAATTATTTCCCCCCAAAATGGTCTAAATAGTTGTTCTTGGTGCTTTTTTTTCTTTTCTAAAAAAATGTTTAGGGGTACTCCCAAAGAAAACCACCATTTTATAGTTCAGATCAGGAAAACTAAACACAGTAAATGGACAAAAGTACAAAGATTCACAAAACATTTAGGGGTATGCGTACCCCTGTTTCCCCCCCCCCCAGAGAAAAAGCACTTCTTGTTCTTAACTGTTTTTAAGTGATCGTTTTATTGTTTTATTCTTATTGTAAACTGCTTTGAAGTTTTCTTGCAATCAAGCTGTATATAAACCCCGTGAAAGAAAATGAATACATAAATTAATCACCCTTCCCCAATGGCTGTGCTGAGCTGGGACTGATGGGAACTGTAGTTTAAGGCATCTGGAAAATACTGCCCTACAGACTCCTTCTTTTAGCTCCTCCATCCCAGGTTGGTCCTGGGAAGGTGGGTGGCCTCCTGACCAGACCCTGGAGGCACTAATTCCTCAGTGAGAGAGGGAATTCCCTGTCAAGCCAGAAATGACCATCTCTCTCTCTCTCTCTCTCTCTCTCTCTCTCTCTCTCCACCCCCTGCCTTTTGCAGAGACGGGATTAGACACAAGACAATTCAGAGGTGCTTTCCCCCTCTCCCTCAGCCCCAAGCCCCATTGGCTGGCTTGTGGGATGCGATTACCGCAGGCGCCTTTGGAAGGCAGCGGAGCGCTGGTCAGACACCTGCCTCTGGCTGCCAAGTGCCTAAGAGAGCAGCCAGGCTATTGTCTGCGATGCTATTTGATCTAAGAGGCCCAAAGCCCTCCTGCTGTGGCTCCGGTTACTCACACCGCCTGCTTGGAACGAGACCAGCCTCTGCCTGCTGCTGTAGGTTATTCCACACATTGAGGAGTAGGTAGCTTGGTCTGGCACCCTTCGAGGGAGGGGGCATGCGGCAGGTGCCCCAAAGGGGCTATGACTCAATGGTCCCAGGTTCAATCCCCAGTATCTCCAGGGAAGACTGGGATTGCCCCTTATCTGGAAAGCTGGAGAGCTGCTGCTGGTCAGTGTAAACAGTACTGAACTAGATGGACCAGTGGTCAGACACGGGAGAAGGCAGCTTCCTATGACCCAATGCAGTGTTTCCGAAACTTGGGTCTCCAGTGGTTTTTGGACTACAACTCCCATCATCCCTAGCTAGCAAGACCAGTGATGGGAGTTGTAGTCCAAAAACCTCTGGAGACCCAAGTTTCGGAAACACCATCCTAAGGGAAGGGCTATTTCTCAGTGGTTGAGCATCTGCTTGCATGCAGAAGGTCTCAGGTTCAGTCTTGGTAGAGCTGAGACTGACTTCTGGTCTGAAATCCTGGAGAGCCGCTGGCGGTCAGTGCAGAGAGTGCTAAGCTAGATGGTCTGCCTTGCTACAAAACAACTTCCTATGCTCAATTTGAGCCAAAGTTCTAACCTTGGAGCTTGTTTCTTGTTGCCTCATTTCAACCATGGAAGAGGCAAGCAAAGCTAAGAAGCTTTTGCAAATGTCAAAGATGGGCAGTGCGCCATCCCATGGGCTCAAATTAAGTTTGACTTGTTTTCGTGTGGCAATGAAAGAAGAAGCCTCAAAAATCCTTTCACCACTCAAGTCCCGAGTGCACGATGTGAAACAGGAGTGAGAAACTGCAGGCCAAATCCTGCCACACACAAGCCTCTATGTCTAGTCCTTAGGACGCTCCCCAGCTCCACCTCCTCTCACCAGGCCACCTATTTCACCAACCTAGGCAGCATCTTAAAAAGCAGAGACCTCACCTTGCCAACAAAGGCCTGTATAGTTAAAACTATGGTTTCCCCAATAGTGATGTATGGAAGTGAGAGCTGGACCATAAAGAAGGCTGATGGCCAAAGAATTGATGCTTTTGAATTATGGTGCTGGGGGAGACTCTTGAAAGTCCCATGGACTGCAAGAAGATCAAACCTCTCCATTCTGAAGGAAATCAGCCCTGAGTGCTCACTGGAAGGACAGATCCTGAAGCTGAGGCTCCAATACTTTGGCCACCTTATGAGAAGAGAAGACTCCCTGGAAAAGACCCTGATGTTGGGAAAGATTGAGGGCACAAGGAGAAGGGGACAACAGAGGACAAGATGGTTGGACAGGGTTCTCAAAGCTACCAGCATGAGTTTGACTAAACTGCGGGAGGCAGTGGAAGACAGGAATGCCTGGCGTGCTCTGGTCCACGGGGTCACAAAGAGTCGGATATGACTAAACAACTAAACAACAACAACATCTTCACAGCCTCATTGAGAGCTTCAGCCTGGCCAGGATGTGTCCTTGAATTCTTAGAATGCTTCTTGTTTACCTGGATGGAGGGTAGAGAAGGGTGTGTGAGAGACCATTCATAGAAACTAGCCTATTGGACAAAAGCAAAATGAGAATCTGTTGTCCCACCAACTGCTGGCTCTGGCCTCACCCCCCACTGGCATGTGGCTCCCGCTAGAGATGCACTGAAAATCTCTTCCCCCCCATGTTAACCCAGAATTTGACAGTTGAGCACTTCAGGTTGGGTGGTGCTTTTCGATTATTAAATGCTCAGTGCCATTGCATGTCATGTATCAAATGTTTTCAAGTCATCCTGATGGGGCAAATATTACAGTATTTCAGAAGCCCTGAATGTGAGACACAATGTGGGTGGAAAGAAAAAGTTCTTCTTCTGTTAAATTGATTATTCCTTAACATTTATATTTCCTTTTCTACTTAAAGCTCCAATTGTGCAAGTATTCAGGTTCACATAAGCTAGAATGGTTAAGTTATACCCCTGTGGACATCTCTGGCTATCACCGTTTGTGGCTTCTACAAAAGCGCTGGTCTTAAAGCTCCCGAGCTCAGATTCTCTTTGCTGGTTTCCTTGCATTGTAATTAAATCCTTCAAATTTAAATCTTCAGCCCAGACTTTCAAAGATTAAA